AAACCTTAATCGGTGGTCATTGCACGATCATACTAAGCAGTTATATATATATATATTCATTAAGGTCCTTGTACTGCTATGCAGTTGTAGAGGCTTACATCTATCAATGCCCATCGGCATATGTTTAAACCATTGATCAGTGGTCATTGAGCTGCCTTCAGTTGCTGAGCCACGATCATACTAAGCAAACTCTAATTCATAAAGTCATTGAGAGTTCCTTGCACTGCTACGCGTTAAATCTATTAATGCCTATCAACATAGGATACTTACGCAAAGCAGACTTTATGTCATATATTCATTAAGGTCCTTGCACTGCTATGCCAATACCCATTGGCATCATGTGAGTGCTGTAAAGGCAAAACCTGTAAGCAAATTTGGAGGTATCAATAAGGCGGATTTAACTGAGAAAATTGTGATCTTACATATTAAATCATTGCATTATTTAACAAGACTTAGGATCATGCCTACCAAAAAATTAATTGCAATTAATTTTTGCCATACATCATACAATTAAAATCAATTAAAATTATCATAAAATTAAATAAATGCAATTAAATCAATTTCTGCATAAAGCGCTGCTTGATGCAACTCGATTTTTTAAACAATGAAAAATCAAAAACCACATGTATATACTGTAATTAATAATATTAATGGCAAATATATGATATGAATCTAATTACGTAACATTGCAATTAATTGACCAATTGTGACTGCACCATCAATCAATTAATTGAGTTTGAAAAATTGCAATTTAATTGCCCTAAAATCAATTATTCGGTAGGCCTGCTTAGGATCTAAGTTTTGTTACATGATATAGAAACAACCAGAACACTGATTGTATACAATGATTTAATACGTAATACCACAATTTTCCCAAGGTTAAATTCGCCTTATTGATACCTCAAAATTTGCTTACAGGTTTTGCCTTGGCAGCACTCATATGCTTTAGACATTGATTGATGGTCATTAAGCTGCTTTCAGTTACTGAGCCACAGAGCCTTATATCTATTAATGTTTAACGGCATAAGATACAGAAGTTAAAACATTTACCAGACACTACATACCAAATAATCATTGAGCTGCAAATTAGATCCTTGCACTCTATGTAGCCGTAGAGCCTTACATCTACCAATGTCAGACCTTATGTATTAATAATGTGAATAATTCAATAATAAACATTATATCATTAAACATTTACCTTCTTTACAAGTTCCTTGCAGCTATTCTTCGATCCATGAAATAATTTAAGTGCAACACCTTCGCTAATAATATTGCTTTTTACTGAGTGTGTTCACATAGCAGAATACACAGTTGCAAACCCTCCTGG